GGGGGGGTATTGGTCTTGTCCCAGGTTGACCCCAAGTGATAAGTGGGGGGCATTGGTTATGTCCCAGGTTGACCCAAGTGATAAAAGGGGGGTTATTGGTCATCATGCAAGTTGACCCGAGTGATAAGGAGGGGTATTGGTGATGTCCCAGGTTGACCCTAGTGATAAGGGAGGATATTGGTGATGTCCCAGGTTGACCCGGGTGATAAGGGGGGTTTTGGTGATCATGGCAGTTGTTGCAGGCACTCCAAATGCAGTCCATGCCAGTGGCAAGGTTGGTGGTGGGAGCTGCCAGGCCAGAGAAAATAATGCCTGTGTAAGCTGTAGCAGAAGCCAGAGGGTAGATAGGTGATGTGAGTTGATGGTGCCAGAAATTAGAAGCCACATCCCATTGCAACACCGAATCACCTTCGGCAGTGACCACTCTGCATTTGATTTCCGTTGGGTATGGCTGTTGTGGATGGCGCTTGTCTATACATGAGTCGCTTTTGCACATGTGCCAGGTATTGGAGCCATTTTGGGTTATCCCTAAAAAACTTTACACTTCCAGTTGACCTGGCATTTAATGGCAGTGCTTCTGATTTCTAACCTGCAGCAAATCATGCCAGACTGGTGCCAGAATTGTATGGGTATACAGTGGAGGAGGTGCAGCCCGTAGAGGCCAGTCAGTCCTCCAGCCACATTGTGTGTGTTCCAGGGGGAAGGAGAAGGTGCACACTTAGGGGCTGAAAGATAGAAGAAAGCCAAGCACTGACATAAAACCCTTCCAGTGGGCCAGCCCTCATGTAGAAGTCCAGCATCCAAGTTTGTTTCATTATTACTTTTATTTTTAAGGTAAGCATTTTTGGTTTTTTAAAATACAACCCCACTAACCTCCTCCCTTCTAAACTATTGAAACTTCTATATTATTATTTTAGACATACAATCTCTGGGCTGGAACTAAGAGGGAAACTAAAACTCCATTTTACTTCTTGTAGTCTTGTTTTACAATGAGTATGGGATAGGAAGGATAGGATAGATGGTAGGGTAGGATAGGAAAAGTTAGCCCCGTAATTATGCAAACTGTAATGCTTTGGGTAACCATAGAAATAAAGGAGATGCTGGCAGATGAAGGGGATTTACACATGGGGGTTTGTATGCCTACATGTTTGTAATGCATGGACAATTGTAAACCTGCGTTCAGGGTCCTGCATTTGGACCATACGTTACACTTTACACATGTAATTGTTCATGCTAATGTTTGCATGCGTACAGTGTAATGGACTCTAACTGCCGCCGCTCAGAGCCAACCAGTAAACAATAGCGTGAAATTAGCTGGTGGCTCTGCCACTGATCAGCTCTGATGTAATCACTGAATTACATTTCTGGTTTTTCCTATAGGTATACCATTATTGTTTTGGAAGCCCTCTCTCAGCGTTCTGTGACGCGCTCCCCAGCTTGACTGAGGAAACACAAAAGACTGAGGGAGTGGAGGAGAGGAGGGTCTTTTAAGCAGATTAAGTGACGTGTTTCCTGTGTGTGGGGGAGGAGATTCCATCTCGTGATGCTGTCCTGGAAGACGTTATGGGAAATTTACAATTCAACAATAATGACCATCACCTCGGGTTCGGGTAATGCATTCTAAAACTTGGTATAAACTGTTTTATTACAAATGCAAGTGTTTGAATTTAGCCTGAATGCATGGCAAAGAGTTTACAATGCACTATGGGTTAGCTAAGGAGCTAGCACAGCAGCATGGGTTAGCTACAGAGTTAGCACAGCAGCATGGGTTAGCTACAGAGCTAGCACAGCAGTATAGGTTACCTAAAGAGCCAGCTTAGAAGTATTGGTTAGCTTAAGAGCTAGCTTAGCAATATGAGTTAGCTGAAAAACTAGCATAACAGTATTGGTTAGCCACAGGGCTAGCATAGCAGTTAGCAAAAGAGCCAGCACAGCAGTATTGGTTAGCTTAAGTTCCAGGACAGCAGCCTACCTGAATACCTACCTTTCCTTTCCGTGCTGCTGCAGCTTCTTGTTTACTGATAATAGTCTCTGCAGATAATATAGAAGGCAGTGGTGCTGTTTCAAGTTTCTGCAGACCAATAATATAGGATGACAAAAATTATAATTAACTAAAGCAAGACTAATTTTCAACAGTTAGTGTGTAAATAATGACATTGATTACACTTTAAGGAAATTGTGTTTAAAAGCTTGTGTCACCTCAGGGAAAATGGGAAATCATGCCTTACATAACATTTTGAAGTCTAACTCACAGCCAAAAGAAGTTGAGGTAGTTTTTGTCTCAAAACCTATTGGAGTTATCACTAGGGCAGGAAGTTCTAACCCACCCTTCACAACTTTACTAACATATGTTTTTGTCTGTGTGTCTCTCCCTTTGGAGAGAATTACCATCACTTCCTATCCTGAAATCTCTCCAAGAGAGGCATAAGTGGAAATAAAAACCTGACAGAACCCTAATCCATTCTATTCAAAACTAAATGTAAAGTTTTGGCTTAGTTTAAGCAAATCTCTAAATTATTGTAAGCATACGTACACAACAAATAACATATAAAGTGCAAAAATAGTGTAGCAATGACTCCTGAAGGAGCTTTTTGGATTTGTCAGGTCCTTCTAGCCTTTATACTGGTAATTTGCCCTTTAGCTGTAACCAAACACGCATGGACCCACAAACGTTGACAGACAGACTTCCACTCTGTCTGTCTTTCTTTTTTTTTTGCTATTTTATTGGCTCTGTGGTCCAGGTGAGAGAGGGTTGGAGGTAGAGAATACCTGTAACGCCTGTATGGACTGAAGTAGTGTGGATCGCAGCTGCGGAGGCTTCTCAGGTATGGAACCCAGGTTTCACTCTCTCAGCTTTAACAGAGAGTTAGGGTTCCTCGCATCACAGCCTCAGGTTAAATAATAAGGTAACGGAAAAGGTTCAACTACGCAAACTAGGGTTGAGGAGTGGTGGTAATTGATAAATGGCCAATGTGAATGCAGGAGTCCACAGATATGCACAACTGAAGCGAGTATAAACCCCCCCTAGCAGCTTAAGCCTATGCAGGCGATACTTTAACAGTCCCGATGACAAGAGGGTGCAACTGCACTCAGAGTACTTGCGATTCGTGGAAACTGCCTCAATGGGAGAAGCAGGGGATCCTCGGTGGTTTCCGGATCCGGTGAATGTTGGAGGGCACAATCTGGAGGCAAGTGGAGGGTCCCAGAAGACAGCAGGCGTTTCTGCTCAATTCAGGAACGCCATGCTGTCTCAACTGGCCGTTTAAATAGGCCTCCGTTTGACAGGAGGAGCCGAGCGACCTCTCGGCGCACTTCCGCGTTCCACGGTGGAACGCACGAGGTCCCGAAACCCGGAAGTGAGGAGCGTGGGCTCCACCCTGGAACGCAATCGGCCCAGCGAAGGAGCGGCTGGCTGCCGCTTCCTCCTCCCCAGCCCGCAGGTGACGGCGGCGGCCGTTACAATACCCGAAAAACGGCAGCAAACAATCCCTCCTCTCCATTGTATTTTGCAGTGTCTTAAACCTATGTTTATGCAAATATGGTAGGCCAGATGGACAACTGCCTTTACATTTCTTCAGCCCCCCTCATAGGCCAGTTGTGGATCTTTAAGCCCAGATGGGCAATTTGTAGTTGTGGACCTTTAAGCCCAGATGGGATATTGATCAAGCAAAACTCTTCTTCAGCTTCCTTCCCCAAGCAGCAGGCCTGAGAAGCATGACGGATGGAAGGACCCTTCAAGAAGGTCTCCCCAAAAATGTAATACCTTCCCCAGCCACATTACTGACATAAACTTGTGATTGGTCAGGGCAAAATAAATATGTGTAACTAAAGCATTTTATCTTTTCATTAGGTCTACTGAATAACACTCCGCAGGAGTAGGCGGAAACAAACATGTCCTTGGGCCTAGGAACAAACCCAGATAACAAGCAGAGCTCAGGCTGGGTACAGTCTAGCAGCAAACACTACATTTATACTAGGGGCACCCCAGCATATGGCAGGGTCCCTACAACAGACAGGTGCCAACCAATGCATTTTGTGAGATCATTGTCAGCTTTTGGTGCTAATAAAGCTAGTTCTACCTATTCAAGTTGAGGTACCCAGTCAACTGCACCTCATTCTTTCAGTGTGACTTAATCTTGTGTATAAATACAATAAGCTTCTAACTTACCCTACTCCCTGCCAATAGCATCTGACTGGGTCTTTACTGCAGCAGCCCCTGTGCAGCCTGTACATTTGAATTGCTGGTATACTACCCTTACATATTACAGTGGAACTAAACTCTACAAATACATTCTAGGAGATAGATCTTATTAACAGAAAAAAAACTTTGCCAGTATCTTTCCCAAAAAACTCTTTCCCCTTGCTCCTAGCAAAAGTTTTTATTGGTGTGCACTGCCTGCAGTGCATGTTCAGTGTACATTCCTCTCATCTGTAAGATCACAAGAATGGAGTTGAATGCATGTGCAAGAGTTACAACATTTGGGGCTGCCCAATGGCTGAATCAGTTGTGGCTGCCCACTCATTGGTGACTGCCCAATGTCCAGAAAAAATAATGGATCCAGAAGAAGAGGAGGAGAAGATGGCAGCATCAGGGGACCAGGCAGCAATGGGAATTGCAGAGCTGTCAGCCCTGGAGAAAAGCAAACCTAGCGTTAAGTCTGCCATAATGTGCAGGTATGCTGTCTTTATTTGCACATTATAGAAAGAGATGCCTAGCCTACCCTCAGCCATACTACAATTCTGCTTTGACACATTTCGCACCCTGTGGAATCGAAATGGGTTTGCCTACAGCCAAATACTAGATTGCCAGTTTGAATCTCAGGAGCCGTTTGGTCGACTCACTGACAGATCGTATCTTTATTCAGTGTGAGTTGTACTCTGAACTTATTGAGTTTAGTGAGCGCTTACACAAAGATCCTAGTGCTAAACCAAATGCGACATTTAATCGAGTCCGGTTATTTACCGCCACAGCCTTCATTACCAGGTAGCTGCATGTTTCTCAATGGTCTGTAAAATTGCCTGTCCTGGGATATAGTTGTAAATGAGTTAATGAAACATTTTATGTGCCTCTTTTATATTTCTGGAAGGACTTATATATAGACAATTAACATATAACTGAAATGCACATCACTGAGCCGCTGAGTAATTTAGATTTCTATATAGACCAAAGTTTCACTGTTAAAATAGATCTAACCCAGTCTGTAAAATGTACTATACATTTTAACAAATGAATATAATTTAAAAGTTGTTTTCCACCATTTAAATCTGCAGCTTTCATTAAAATATAGGTTCTGTTCAGGCACTTCCTGTAAGGGTGACAACTGTCCCCCAATAGTTCTCCTGCATTTTCATCCTGTCACCAGGGCCGGTGTTGCCACTAAACAAACAAGGCAGCCATCTAGGGCACACTGCTGCCTAGGGCGCAGACTCGACCATTTACCCACCCACAGTGCCCCCCTCCTCTATTTCAAATTGCAAAAGCCAATAGCAGGCTGGCTATTACCTCCGCCCACTGAGCAGAGGAGCGGAACTGAGAGACAACTTTCTCTCTCAGGTCCGCTCCTCTCCTCAGTTGCTGGTGTTTCAATAGCCAGTCTGCTATTGGATATTTCAAATTAAAATAGCCAATAGCAGTCTGGCTATTGTCCTGGCTGCTTATATCCATCTATCGCCCATTGAAGCTTGCCAAGAGGAAAATGGGGCCATGTGTGTGTAGGGGCGGCTGGATGGGTGCAAGTAGATGGTCTTGCCTAGGGCACAAAATGTCTAGCACTGGCCCTGCCTGTCACACATGCCCCTGTTAAAGACTCCAAGGGGGCCGGCAGACACTCACTGTGTAGGCATAGTCCACAGTTGTCACTATTAGGAAGCTGGTCCAAAGCAATGATGTGCAGCTGACGCTGGAGAGAGCGCAAGTAAACAGGAAGTGGCTGAAAAAGATCAGCATTACTGAGATGGAATAATTTATATGAAAAAGGTGAAAAAAAATTAAAAATGGCAATCGTGTTTGATGAATGGTGCTTTTGCCAACTAAATATCCTCCAGTTTAGATCAAATGCTTGTTCTGACTATCAGTTACACATCACATAAGCAAAGATCTCAGATAGTAGAAAGTACAGGCAGAAGACAAAAGCCATGATGTTACCATAAAGCACAGGCAAGGCCTGGTAAATGTATCTTACTTGGAGACGCCGAGGAGGATGCTTCTTAATTATACTAGTTGTGTCACCATTTTCCAGTGGAACGTCAAAAGAAATTGGCCCGGGTACTTTAACCAAAGAGAGAAAACAATATGTTCAGTCCATTATGATTGTAAAATAATAGAGATTAATCATAATCATAGCGTTTAACATATCTGACTACTGGACCCATTTGCGATCATATAATATAACATTTTACCCAAAGTTGATTTTTTTGGTTTCTGGAAGGCAATGGTGAGTTGTATCATCTGCTTCTATATCTCAGACATGGGTCTGTTTTTAAAGCAGTGAATTTGACTTTCACCAAACATTTTCTGGTGGTGAATCAATCATGGTCAAAATATATGCACTTGGAAGGTTTAGTTGCAGTGAATGTTTTCTGAATGTCAGATTTACTGCTTTAGAAATACGCCCATATGTGAAGAGATTTCTCTACATTCCTCTTACTGAATTTAAACACAAATATCTAGAGATGGACAGATGAAGGGGATGAACAAAGGAAACAGTAATCAAAGCTTGTAAATTTCAAACCTGGATGGTACCCCAGGCATTAGCCTAAACGTGCCATTATAGTAAATAGTGCCTTGCTTGCTTAACAAAGAAAATGAGGGTCACCCTCTCACCGAAAAATGAACAAGGACCATTGTAATCAATTTACCATTTTTTTAAATTAATGAACAGTGGAACTACTATACCCTTGTCTTGATGCCAAAGCCATGAACACAAATTGTTGAGTAAAGTAGCACCAATAATACTAAATGTATTGGGAGCTCTGCATGCATCTCAGCTACAGATGTTCTATATGTCTCATATACACATCGATCAATGGCATGATGGGTCATCATGCTGACTACTAGTGGTGATGCATACCCAAACTTAAAACCCTTTTTTATTGCATCTAAGGCTGGCCATAAATGGGAAGATATCTTTCTGAGAAGGAAATCTGGAGAGATACGGTATCTTCCCACTCTTGTACAAGACTACTGGGTGAGCCCACCCATGACCCTCGTCCAACACCAGCTACAATGCATGAATGGCAGTGGTCCGCTAATTGCAGAAAAGCTCAAAATTTGTCAGGGTCTCTTGTAATTACAGAGCCATCAATGGCTATGCTTACTGGTAAGATGAACCTTTGCACATTAATATTTATTGGATTACTGTCAGAAAGGTTTTGTTAGAAAGGGCACGCCTAACTGACATGGTCACCTACGCACAGCCCTTCACTTGGGGTCACTGTTGTCTGCGCCTCAACAAGCAAGGGTGCACTCATTCATGTTTCACAGTATGTGCGTTTGCCTGACATCAACACCAATTGGTCTGCTTAAAACCCTGTCTTACCGATCAGTGAGCAGTTTTCAACTGCATCTTTGCTGTTGACCTGACCAGACACTGTGATTACCGATCCATCTTAATTTTCCTGACCTTCTCGGAATTTACATTGAAACTTTGCTTCACCAACCCTTTATCTTCAAATTTGTCTCTGTCGCTGCTTGACTGTTGCTAACCTGAGCTTGCCCTGTGACCATACACCAGTCTCAGATCTAATACTCTGCTGTGCGTCTGTTACTTGATTATGTACCTGCTGGGTGATTTTCTGCTTACTAGCTGGTCCACGATCCATTTAACTGTACCACAACTATTGTGTTTTTTTAATAAATAGTATACTTTGGCGCTGATTTGGTAAATTATGAGACCTCCTTCCCTAATTTAGCATATAAGATCATCACAAGTAAAGCGGTATTTTGAAGGTGTCAGCATAAAGGATATGAGATGTTAAACTATCTAAAACAGAAATTTATTTACAATCATAAAATTAATACAAATTACACATTATGCTTATTTAAACATGAATAGTATACACTGAGTGGCCAGATTATTATGAGCACCTGACGTTTTTTAGGTAAATTAGCTATAATTAGCTATAATTTCATGCTGAAGTTGCTAGAGGGCCAGACCATTATAAATAGGGAAGCAGGTTGTTTACCACTACAGTAGTACAGTTTTTTCTGAAGATATGGGTAAACAACGCGATTTAACAGCCTTTGAACGCGTGATGATTGTTGGCGCTCGGAGCCATGGAGCGAGTATCAGCAAAACAGCAGAATTCGTTAAATGTTCAAGAGCATCAGTTGTTAAAGTGTTTAAAGACTGGACTGTCAGCCGAAAATCTGGGTCTGAACGTGCGAATTGTGGCCCTCAGCGACTAGTCAATGTTAGGGCAGAACAGAGAGTGGCAAGACTGGTACAAGACAACAGAAGGGCAACAGTGCAGTGTCAGATTCCTCGCATCACCTTTCATCATCTCGTGGAGTCACGAGGCGGCCCAACGAAGTAATCTCGTGGAGTCAGCTCGTGGCCCAACAAAGTACTGATGGGGTGGTCATAATAATCTGGCCACTCAGTGTATATTTCATTACATCTAGTCCGCCCATCATATACAATTTATCAATTAGATTATATAAATACGCACAGTTTCCTAAAGATTACATGGATTATCAATTGATCTATTATTGTTTATGTTATCATAGATATCACTTCTATACTGTCTGAAGAAATGGACAAAGTTCTCTGAATTGCGGAACGAAAGTATGCCCCCATCTTATCATTTCACCATTTACATATGTAACATATAGGAAACAGTGTACAATATTTATATAACCTAACTGATAAATTGTATTAGATGGATGGTAGTAGGTAGATGTATGGCGTCAATCCAGCCAGTGGATTATTATAACTCATACGTTATGAAAAATATACAGTACTGCTCATGTCTCACGGAGTATACTTTTTATCATTGGTAGGAGTTTTCTGATGATTGCAATTAAAAATCTATGTTTGGGATACTTTAATATCTCATATCCTCTGTGTTGATGCCATCACAATTCTGCACTACTTGTGTTAAACCTATTGTGTTTTTGTTCTCATCTGGACCCACACTCTCCAGTAGCCCTGATTACATTCAACAGCCACTTGTGTCACTACGCTGCCCTGGCACTACCCATTGGTGCTTGAACTGGATTTGTATGAGAGGCTGCTGCCATGATATTGGTCTTCACCAGATACATGACTGCCCTTCCATAGAAGCAGTGATCGAATCAGGCAGAAATTATTAACTGCTTTACATTAAACATTAACAGCATTTTTGTATTCATAGTGGGTTTCTTCATTGCCCTGTGTGGAATTCACTTCATGTTGAATAGTTAAGTGTTGTGATTAACCCCTGTTAATGATTTAATGACAGCAGAAGCCCTGAGCAACTGAGAAATACGCGAGTAAGGGAATGCAGATATTTTTTTTATTTTAATGGTCTTTGTTAAATAAAACGTTGCTATAAAAAGGGATTTAGCAGATTATGGACATGCAATATATGTGCTGTGACGCATAAATTGCTACAGAAACACACAATGGTGATGTCAGTGTGGGAATATCTGGGAATCTATATATTGAGATCTCAGTGCTGGGGTTCCTATGATTCACTGCCTAATTCCGCATGGAAATGTTAAACAAAACTAGATTAGGTGAACTAATACTTTAAAGAGGAACTCCAAGAATGATCTTTTATGGAAATTTACCATGGTCCAGCTTGGCTTGATGTATCCATATCTGATAGCTGGAGATTCTGAAAATCACAGTAGTACTCCACCATACATACAGTGATAGCCGTGATCTTCTGGCTGTGGCTTCAACGGCTCCCCTCTCTACACTGAACAGGGAGTTGCTCACTTGGCCACTCTGCCATTCAGAGAATTGCCCATTTTTTTCAGTGAATACAAGGCGTTTTCTGATTGGATGAGGAGAAGATCCTTATGTCATTTGTCCCTCCTCTTCACCTTATCCAATCATAGAATGCCTTGTATTCTTTGATAGAATAAAAGAGGTTCTCATAATGGTGGCGGTGCGGAGCAAGAGACTCTGTGTTCGGTGCACTGTGGCAAAGCCATTGGAGCAGCACCTGCAAGATTATGGCAATCACTGTATGTAGTGCTGTCCTATTGGAGGATCAATTGCTTTGTTACCTTACAAATTGCTGCATACAGCAAGTATGCAGATCAGGAGTTCAGATTTTCTTCTGACTCCACTAGTTGCATGATTGGGACAGGTCAAGTTTCTTTAAAGTGAACCTGTCCTTACAGTCCTTTTGCAGCACTGCCATGCCATTCAGTAGCCAAGAGTGAAAGTAATGTCTGGTGTAAGCTACAAGTTCCTGAAGTCCCTTGGATGAGCAAAGCACAGGTTTGTTTTAAGGGCAAAAGTGTATGATCTGGCAGGATCAGCAGGTAATAAAACTGTTGTAGGGGGACTCAGAAAAACAGACTGCTGGTGTTCTGATTGGACGAGGGGTAGGTTGTGAAATCACTGTTCCTTGTCCAATCAAAAAACACCTTGTATTAATTGATGCAAATACTAGGCATTCTCTGAATTGCCACTGTGCCAAGCAAGCAACCCGCTGTGTGTTCAGAGCAGAGGGGAAGCTCCGGCTACTACAGTGCTTTACAGGAGCCATATAGGCCATTCAGGTGTGGCATATGCATTTTCACAGTAGGTCAAGCTGGACCAGTGTAAATATGTCTAAAAATGTATACCTGGAGTTCAGCTGTAAGAAAAAAAAGGAGAGGAAACTCCTTTTGTTGGGCACAGATTTTGTAATTTTTCTAATGCAGGTTAAAGGACAAAGGGATCCGATCAAAATGTATGCACACATAGATTTTCATTCATTACATTTTTTTTTCTTCAGTTAGAAATTTGGAGCAATATGGATCTGTTGACTGTTGCACCATCCCATAAGGTGCAACCTGGACAACAACTTTTGTCTTCTGTTTTTACTCCACTTTTTTTTATTAACTTTTCCCCACTGTGCCTCTGCTATGACTCCAATACATGCAACATTCACTCACAACTTTTACCTATTGGACCTCTCCCATACAATGTCTCCCTGAGAGGTGGAAGCTGCCGTTCATGTATTGGGCTCCTGTGATCCATTTTCCCAAAGTCAGAATAGCCGTTCCATCCATTAAATCCTGACGATGTTGTCGGTGACACAAATACATCTTTACTGTTAAGAGGAACCACCTTCCTCACCTTGTGGTTCGGCTTAGAATTGTTCAGCCCCATGGAAGGAATAGCCAATCACAATATAAAATGTTCATCTGCAAATAAAATACAGCGATGTCCTGAAAGAATTGTTGTGCTTGGAAGTACAGTCTGTTTCTAAGCTCAGAGGTTTTAGGACTCCTCACTCCGTAAATGTCCTGCTAGAATTCCTGGTCTGCTCTAGAGTTAAACATTTACATAATGCAAGAGTGAAGGTGGAACAACAGGGTGAATATGAAACTTCATTTAACAGCCTGGGTGGGGGTAGTAGACACAACAGTGCGTGTTAACAACAGCATTCAGTAGACTTTCTCTGATACACATGGTCAAAGACTCATCTGCTGGGATCAGTGACTTACTGCTTTAAACTACTGGGAACTGGACTCTTCCTATACGTAATGTTGTTTAGTTAAAGAAAAACTCCACTTTCAATAAAACCGACTTTAGTCTGAACCTGAGCTCATTACTAGTAACTAGCTTGCCATTGGCTAAAACAAAAATGCTCAAGACTAAAAAAGCACACACAAATGTTCAAAAAATGCACAAAAGACAACCAAAGAAGCCGACACTCAAGTTTGAATGTAGCCCTAATGTTGCTGATCTCCCAAAGCTTGTATGCTGCCACTTCCTCTCTACATGCAGGCCCACCAGAGATGACAGCATGACATTTCTGAGCGCTGGTTTCCTGATAGTTACAACTGTGGACCACACCTACAGGGCCATCCCTTTAATGTTGCCTCGGGTTGAATCAGCATCTCCTGAGGAGGGGGGGTGGCAGGCAGAGCGACATGGCTGCTCTGCTGCACAATGTTTGCAATGTGTCTGCTGCCCCCTTTCCAGCTAGTAGGTCCCAGATCGCTAAGAACCTGGCCTGCAGATGTGTACAGGCCATACACATCTCCCTGCTCTTAGCAACTTGGGACACTCTGGGTGGCATCCCAACCAGCTCTTGGCAACCTGCGATATCCAGATGGCCAGTGCATCCAGCCAGGGAATATTTCTGTGGTATTGGCCAGGCAAATGAGCTGACCACCTTGCTTTTCCCATATACCCTATTTGAACTTTTGCATTGAAATCCTGATCATGATGATCGTACTGTTTATCTCTATACAGTGGGGCAAAAAAGTATTTAGTCAGCCACCAATTGTGCAAGTTCTCCCACTTAAAAAGATGAGAGAGGCCTGTAATTGGCATTATCGGTAGACCTCAACTATGAGAGACAAAATGAGAAAAGGGGCAGGACAGAGGAGCCTCTTAAAGAAGAAGGTACAGGTCTGTGAGAGCCAGAACTCTTGCTTGTTTGTAGGTGACCAAATACTTATTTTCCACCATAATTTGCAAATAAATTTGTTCCAAATCAGCCAATGTGATTTGTCTGGATTTGTTTTCTCATTTTGTCTCTCATAGTTGAGGTCTACCTATGATGCCAATTACAGGCCTCTCTCATCTTTGTAAGTGGGAGAACTTGCACAATTGGTGGCTGACAATACTTTTTTTGCCCCACTGTATATGTGTATTTGCGAATGTTAGACATTGTCATTATAAATATTATGAATGTCATTATGAGCATTAGACTTGACATTGTCATATTTGCTCTAGTTTCTCCTCACATACAGAATATTCCTATTACAATGTGCTCTAAGGTTATTGTGAATGGGTTTAGAATTTCTGATATGAAGACTTCATACAATAAGAGTTTTAAGAGTCATCTGACCTGTGATGTTTTTTTCTCTTCCTCTATTGATTGCCACACTTCAGGATGGTAAACCGCTTTACCCAACGTCATTGTGATTACCTTAACCTTATAATGCAAGGTCAGTGGTTCCTCTGCTGTTCCATGCAGCCGAAATGAAACATCTGTTAAAGGTTTTTTTTTGTCCAAATCTGTCATGAAAACTTTAAAAATGTGATAGCTATGAGCAGTATAGCTGTATGCTGTGAATGTTATGATAGCTTATGTTTTATTGCTCCCTAAAAAGAAACTTTGACTGGCTATGGGGAAACTAAAAGTCAGCAGATACAAGTACTGTAGCTGCTTACTTTTAAAAGACACATACATAACAAGCCCTGAAGTTCAGCGCTGCCTTGCTTGCACCCAATTCTTTGCAGTGCTGCTGATCCTTCTGATGCTTCTGATTAGAGGACCCTGCTTGTGAGAGCTTACACTCTACAAGAAAGGGCAAGTGCCATTTTGCATTCACAGCCCGCTGCCTACTTGCACAAGACACAGACTGCAGGGGGAAAAGCCTCCTACGGTGTGTGACGTGTGTATCCCATGAGGTTGCAGGTGGGGTGGGGGAGAGCTGAGTGCTACGGGATCCTTCCCTAGCTGAGGAATGAAGAAGTGGGAGCAAGTACCTGCAGAAAAAGGTACCGCCCACCCAAAAAATACATGTGATGTTATTCTGTTGGGGAGGGGTAGAAGGGTGCAGAGCTGTTTTGTTGTGTGAAGGTCCATTATAACTAACAAAAACACCATAAAGGTCTACTGATTATGTAAGCAGAAGTTCATCCCCTTCACCCTCCTTTTTTCCTAAAGTGTTTAGGTTGGTCTGAGGACATCACAGGTTCTTCTTCTTCTTTCTTGTTGGTGGCAGGGGGGATCATTCCTCCTGAACTAAGCAAAGCTCATATAAAGAATCGTAAACAATGCTCATTCCAGGAGTACTGTGAGCCAGAGGCTTATCGACATAAAATACATCTGCTGCTGCAAGTTAGTTGCTAGGACCACCTGGTGTCCTAGCAACTAACAGGCAGTGGCAGCCAGCAGGGGTTAAATAATTACAGAAGCAGTGCAAGTGAAACCTAAGGCATGTGCCATATGTGTCATGCCCTGGATATGCCACTGCTGTGAGCACAGGCTGCAAGATGATGCAAAAAGTTTGCTGACTCATGGAGTGGTGCCCCCTTTTCAAGTGATACCCAGGGTATGTGCCATGCTCTGGATACACAATACTGCTGTGAGCAAAGGCTGCATGATGATGCCGCCCAAGAGAGCAGGTCAATAACAGCTGGGGCTGAAAGAAGGTACATTGAATGCCACTGGCTGTCATTCAACCTGGAAGGCTGGCGGCATCTAGTGGTAAAGAAGAAATACTGTAGGGGCAGCTCTGAAAAGAAGTCGAGTATTGTAGCAAAAGCTGCTTTTTTTAACAGGTACAAAAGAGAGCAAAAAAACACCTAAAGTTCCACTTCAGATTTTTAAATACTGCTACTTTAGATAAAGTTCCCTCTGATCTAGGGGTCTTTTTAAATTTTTGTATTACTGTATCACATTATGTTATATGTATACTCTGTGTTTAAGCTTTACTTTATATCCCCTACACATATATAAAGACATTCTGTGATCTGTTACTAATGGGTGGATATGCTTGGGAGGAGATTTATCCTGGCCAATCAGATGTTTACAGGCAGGTAATAAAGGGGCTAGCAATGTGTTTGTCATTTGCCCCCATGGGTTTTATATGAAAGCTGATGCTGCCTGATAAGCAAAACAAGAATGCAAAGGTGACAAAAGATAAAGACTTGCCAGAATACTAAATAATGGAGTGATGAGGAGGATAAAGCTAGGTAACAAAGGCATTCAAGTTCACCAGCAGGTGAACTTGAGCTTTGCAAGGTATTTCTTTAACCAGAAAAGAAAAAAAAGGAAATTGCATGCTAGAGAGTTCATAATGAATAGAGAGAGGAGAGTACGTGTGAGAGATGTGGACCAATGACCTGTAGCAGCTAGGAACTAGAAGCCAGCAGCAGAAGTGTCAGGGGTCTATAGTAGGGACAGGTGAACTGGCGTTAGACTTTGATATAGCCATAAAAATTGGAATATGACACCCACTGAGCAAGGACCCATTTACAGCTGTACTAGGGGGAGTTGAAGAACCCTTCTGACCATCTATGGTACTTCCTCATTGACATGCTGGAAAATATCCATGTAAACTAGTCATTCATTCACAGTTCACAAAGGGAAGAGGGATAGAATGTGTGTGTGCAGCACTTTAACCAGAAGTAAGATGAATAGTGGGGATTTCAGGAGAGGTGAATAAGAAACAGTGGTGGAAAAGGGCGGCCCAGCTGAGGTACATAAGAATTAGCATGGGGTCATTGGTGGGGTGCATGAAAAACAGCAGAGAAGTGTCAATGTGCAGATGTCCTCATGCCCAGTGTTTTATAGGAAAACATGCTTAGCTTACATAAGAGAAGCCATTAGGAAACTTTTCCTTTCTAACTGTACTGTATATTGCCAGATCAGGATTATTGTAATGTAAAAGGCTTGTGAGGTTGTCTTCAATATTTGTTTAAACCACCTTGACACAATTACAATTAAGAGCTTTCTCAAGTGAAAGCTCCGTATTTTTAGAAAGCCCGTAGCATTTAAACAAGCTTGTAGTATATATATTTAATCATAAAGGCTGGCAGCGACATAGAGGAGGACCAAAGGCATTTAATGTGAAAACTGAAAACCAGCTGGGATTTCATCCTTTAGGCAGTAACCTTCTCCAATCAAAAGGATTGGACTGAGCAAATAGTGGCTGATACAGCTTACACGAGCCTCTGGGCTTGCTGGATGCAGTGGAAAAACAAATTACCGATCAGTGTAAAATGTATTATTAGAATTGTTCTCTGCTAGTGTATAGTATTAAGCGTGACATAACTGTGTCCTTTCGGGGCCCGCAGGCAGTTGTTGGGTATCAATCTGCAGCGACTGCAGGTCTTACAATAGCTGAGGACTACTTGGTATGTACAGTATGTTGGCCTTGTCAGCAGTCATACACTTACAACAAAGGTGTATTGGAAACCAGACATACAATAGCTAGAGAAAATGGAAGAAATGCCAGAATGTGGTGACATCCATTATAAATGATGAATTCTTGTATCAGCCTTCCAAACCCTGCTGAATGCCGGGCTGTTCTGACAGACAAATCTTCAGCAATTCATGATAGTGTCATAACTTAACCCCCCACTGTCCCCCACACATTGCTACTGGACAGTGAGGCTGCCCTTCACAATGATGGGCAGAGAGCTGCAAGCTCCATCACCACCAAGAAGAGTAGGAACTTTACCTGTCACTGAGGATTTGGGAGGTTGCTGCAGGCATGTGCATATAGTTATGTGATGTACATGACCTTCCTGTCCAGGAAGAATGTGGAAAAAAACATAAACACGGTTGTTAAACTGCCCCTAATCCT